GGGGGGGGGGGGGGGGGTCACCACTTGCGGAATTGAAAATTGGGTACGTAAAGATGTATAATACTATGAAAAGATTATTTCAATGAAGGGAATTCGCAAAGTTGCAGGGTAAGAATTTTTGAATTTTTTTCGTGAGGTTTTTATGGATAAAATTTGTATTTTTATTCAGCTTAGGAGAGAGAACTTTTTCTGGAGGACTCTCTAGGTATAAAATAGAGAATTCTATGCACATGAAAATGACAAAATTTTACTGCATAAAAGGCAGTTTGCTTGGTACTTTTTGTGAATAATTACAAGGGTTTTGTTGGTTTGCTGAGGAACAAAGAGAGTGAAGTTAGAGAAGGGTGGAGGGAGGGAGCAAACGGAAGGGGCAATTATGAAACTAGAAGATTGTCAACATATGAAGAAATGCGAATAGAGTATTTCAACAACTAAAATATAAGAAAAGGGGGAAGTAAAGAAGAAAATCAGTTTTTTGCCTTTTTTCAACAAATTTTCGCTCTTCGTTAACTTGAAAAATCATATATTTTAAAGGGGAATCTATGAACACGGATTTGTAAATTGAAAATAGAAAATGACCAAAGCTTGTCTGTTTCTTTTTTTTCCAAATCAATCAGAGGAGTTTTGTCAGTTCAATAGAGAACAAAGGGAGTTGGGTTCAAAAGGGAATCACCGAATGAGAAAAATAACTGTCAATATATTGGAATTGATGAGTTTATAGAAAAATTATTCAAATTCAATAAGTATTGAAAAATTGCAGGAATAAAAAATTGCAATTTCAAATACAGGTTTCCTCTATGGAATTTTATAAATTGCAAATGGAAAATACAATGGAACTCGATACATATGAACTTTTGAAAAATATAAAAATATCAAATTCTATCAGGAACTTCATTGAACAATAAATTCTGAAAAATTTCCAAAAATCAATTGTACAAGTTTGATGTTTTCCGCAAATTTTCGTTTCCCTAATCTTAAGAAATGCCTTATCCTCCATAAAACCCCGCTCAGTACGTTTATCAACGTTATAACTCAACAAAAAAAACAACTCGAAGCAACGCTCCAGTGGAAGATGAAAAAATAATTAAAAAATCCAAACCAAGTGACTGTTTCTACCGAATGAGAAAAATAATAACTGTCAATATATGGGAATTGATAAGTTTATGGAAAAATGATTTCAGTTCAATAAATATTAAAAAATTGCAGTTTCAAATACAAGTATCTTCTATAGAATTTTATAAATATGGAATCGCAAATTAAAAACCCATAACAATGTGAGGAACTATCAGAAAATTTTGGGAATAAAAAGTTCTGGAAAATGCCAAGAAGAAAATGTTCGCAAATTTCCGTCATTTTAGGAATTTTCAGTTCTCGTTATCTCAAGGAATGAGTTATCCTCTAACTTTAAACAATTCTAACTTTAGAAAAATCTAAAAATTGCAAAATCTATCAAAAGATTGATTGAATAAAAAGTTCTGAAAAATTTCCAAAAATCAATTGTGCAAGTTTATTGTTTTCCGCAAATTTTCGTTTTCCTTATCTTAAGAAACAGCTTATCCTCCATGGAACACCGCTCAGTATGTTTATCAACGTTATAACCCAACAAAAAGGCTACAACTCGAAGCAATGCTCCCTTGGAAGATGAAAAAAATCATTAAAAAATCCAAACAAAGTGACTCCTTCTACCGTAAATCTTAAACTAATTCCAAGTCACCATAAATAAAGGGAGTGGATTTCAAAAGGGAATAACCGAATGAGAAAAATAATAACTGTCAATGTATGGAAATTGATAAGTTTATGGAACAATTATTTGAGTTCAATAAACATCACAATGTGAGAAACTATCAAAAATTTTTTTTAATGAAAACTTTTGGAAAATGCGAAAAAAAAAATGTTCGTAAATTTGCGGCATTTTGGGAATTTTCTTTTCTCGTTATCTGAATGGATGATTTATCCTCTATCCAACTCTGTAAATATGAACTTTAGAAAAATCTAAAAATAGCAAAATCTATCAAAAGATTAATTGAACAAAAAAGTTGGAAAAAATTCCAAAAATAATTAAAAAATCCAAACAAGGTGACTCTTTCTTTCAATAGGGAATAATCGAATAAGAAAAATGTCAACTATCAACATTTAGGCATTGATAAATTTGTAGAAAGATTATTTGAGTTCAATAAATAATTAAATATTGCAGTTTCAAATACAATTTTCCTCGGTGAAATTTATAAATACGAAATTGCAAATCAAAAACATATAACAATGTGAAACAATGAAACTATCAGAACATCTTTGAATGAAAACTTCTGGAAAATGCGAAGGAGAAAATATTCGTAAATTTGCGGCATTTTGGAAATTTTCATTTCTCGTTATCTCAAGGGAAGGTTTATCCTACATCCAACTCTATAAATACGAAATTTGGAAAATTCTAAAAATAGCTAAATCTCTCAAGGTTAATTAATCAAAAAATTCTGACAATTTTCCAAAATTCAATCTTGCAAGTTTGATGTTTTCCGCAAATTTTCGTTTCCCTTATCTTAAGGAATAGCTTCCTCCTCGAAACCCGGACCACTACGTTTATCAGCGTTATAACCCAACAAAAACACCACACTCGAAACAATACCCCATTGGAAGATGGAAAAAATCGTAAAAAAATTCAAACAAAGTGACTCTTTCCAAGTCCCCATAAATATATTGATAACGGCCCCTCAACCACTTCGCGGTAGTGAAAAAATACACAGGTGAAAGGTGAAATTACCTAGCAACAAATCAAAACTCTGAAGTTTCCCGAGAAAGTATGAAAATAGGGACGATGAAAAATGCAGATAATTTCCATTGACAACGTAACCCAACAATTATCATCTGGTCAATGGATTTTTGTCCAATTACCATGTGAAAACCGCTGAAGGGGTTCGCAACACGTAAAATTATCGTTCCCGCGTTTGCGCATGCGCACATTATAGTTTATACACTCCGAAAGCGGATGGTCTCCAATGCCCAACGCTTCAATTCTGTATTTGTGCACTTTATCGTATAATTTTGGGGAAAAACTTACCTTCGGAGCTTCACCAATCACTTTCACTTGCCAACTGACACAATTTATGAATTCATTAAGCACAATAATACGCAATATCGATACAATGCTCGGCGCGCCCACCTCGACACACTCGTTGTGCATCCATCAACGATGGCGAATAGCTGCTTCGGTTACTCCGTTGCCTGCTCCACCACCATTTTCCATGTGGGTAGGCGCTCGAGAGAAGCACGGTCGTATTTACTCGGCAAACCTCGGCATCATTCGGTTATCCCGCTTTATAAAATCAAACGCCAGTTTGTTTCTCGATTCCGGGCGATTTAATTCGGTGAAGTAATTTTCTCATCAATTTGAGTCAATCAACAGAATTGGAAAAAGTGAATTTGAGGAACTTTTCGATGTTTAGAATTATTTCTATGAGGGATAAATTGATTATTTAGGAATGGTAGTGGTAGTTGAATATTAATTAATTGAAAGGATCCGAGAGAATTTTTTTCGTCATTCTTCTCCGATTCAGAGATATTTTGGTGATGGATCAAGCACTTTAATCAAGTGGTTTTACCTGTTTACTAATTAATTTCAAGAGATGAATGACGGAAAACGTTTTGTGTAGTTGTGGAAGTTCTATACAAAAATATTTTCTAAACATTTTTCTCTCAGTCACTTTTTATTGAGATAATTCAATAGGAACTTTTCAGCATACATTTTCCAAGTTTTTTCATCAAAAACAACAAAAATGGCAAAATTGCATTTGAGAATTACTTTGAATTTATTATGTGAGAAATAATTATTCAGAACTATTCATTTGGACTAATTCATTCATTCAGGATTAATTAATTGAGACGATCTGAGAGAATTTTTTTCGTCATTCTTCTCAGATACCGAGTTTTTTTGGTGATGGATCAAGCAATTTAATCAAGTGGCTTTACCTGTTTACTAATTAATTTCATGAGGTGAATGACGGAAAACCTTTTGTGTACTTGTGGAAGTTCTGCACAAAAATATTTTCTAAACATTTTTCTCTCAATCACTTCTTATTAAGATAATTCCATAGGAACTTTTCACCATACATTTTCTAAGTTCTTTCATCAAAATCAACAAAAATGGCAAAATTGCATTTGAGAATTATTTAGAAGTAATTCTGTGAGAAATAATTATTTAGAATTATTTCTGTGAGAGAGGAATTGATTATTAAAGAATGGTAGTGGTAGATGGAGATTAATTAATTCATTGAGGATTAATTAATTGAGAGAATCCGAGAGAATTTTTTTCGCCATTCTTCTCAGATTCCGAGATATTTTGGTGATGAATCAAGCGGTTTTACCTGTTTACTAATGAATATCAAGAGATGAACGACGGAAAACCTTTTGTGTAGTTATGGAAGTTCTGTAAAAAAATATTTTCTAAACATTTTTCTCTCAGTCACTTCTTATTGAGATAATTCAATCGGATCTTTTCAGCATACATTTTCTAAGTTTCTTTATCAAAATCAACATAAATGGCAAAATTGCATTTGAGGAACTTTTTGATGTTTAGAACTATTTCTCTGAGGGATACGTTTACTTTTGGAAGAAGATTGATGAAATAATTAAAAAATTGCAAGTTTTGACAATTACGAGAATTTTTTATAAATAATTTATAAACAATCAATTTTCCGTAGTACAAGTCACATTAAAGATGGGAATTTATATAGCGTTCCACATATTTGTGACGTCTTAGGAAATGATTGGATGGGATTTGGATGAGGTGGGAGGGGAACAGGGATTATTCTCAATATGAATAACCAGAACATTTTTACTGAAAAAAATGGATAATCCGGACCGGGATTTGAACCGGGGCCTTTCGATTGGAATCTTTTGATCGCAATCGTAACAAATTTATTGGTATTTAGAATTTTACCAGAAATCGATTTCATACTAAAAAAACTGAGGTTTCGGAAAATTTAAACAATTTCAATTATTTATAATATACACAACGAGTGTTTAAAAATATAATAATTCTGTGTAAAATATACTTTGAATGACGCTAAATTCTCATGATTTTTATCAAATTTTTCTCACGCAATTTAATTGAAAAATTTAATGATTGAAAATGGTTGAATTTGTAGTGTGGTCTGTACCAAACTGTAAAAGATACTTGGACAACCTTCAGTAAAAATTAATTCCAAAAATAGTGAAATCTCATCGCCTCACTAATTCATTTTCCACTCTAAATCTAAGAATAATCGTAAAACGCTACAGTCAATCCCCCATTCGTCTTTTGTTTCTCGTATTTCAAGGTTGGAGGGATGATCTCGAGATCAATAGTGTGAAATTGGTAGTGAGCGTCATCAAGTCGGTGGAATAATATCGCGAATTTTCCTTCGTAAAGAATAGTTAAATCTCCATCTGAATATTCACAAGTTCGTGAAAACTTTAATTCGAAAACAATTAACGATAATCTAAAGCCTCTCCGAGTTGGCATTTCCCCTCCGCGATGTCGCGTAATCCCGCATTTTTCGAAATGTCGGAGAGCCCCTTCAAAGTCTACGAGAGCAACCACTTGGACTGGGAGACGCCGAAGAGCTCCCACCAACACCTGAAGAGAACTTTCAACAGCATCGAGAATCACGATGTCAAGGTAATTTTTTTATTAAGCCGTTATCAACTAAAATGTCATGATAAAATGGGAAAAACTATTCACCAAAAATTGCGAAATTTATTGCGTGGACTTGCAACAAAAGAAATTTATTGTAGGGACACGTAAGGTAAAATGGACTTTTTCATCACGCTGTGACGAAAAGGGAACTTTTCGGCACGCTCCGCGTGCCTAAAAGTCCAATTTCCGCCACATTGTGATGAAAAATATTGTTCGTAACTCGTGAAAAAATGTTTTTTAGCTCGTGGGATTATATCACTCGCCTTCGACTCGTGATATAAACCTCCCACTCGCCAAAAAACACTTTTTTGCACTCGTTACGAAATATACTATCTTATGTCATTAATATCTTATCAATGGTACGATTTTAATGACCTAAATTTCATTCTAAAATTAAAAAAAAAACTTAAAAATGAAAATTTTTTTTGAATTTCAATCCAGTGGTTTCTAATCGGAAAATTATTCCCCATTAAAAGTAATTAATTCGACCGTAATAATAATGTTTTTTAAGTAGCATGAACACACCTCAATTTTCGAAGATTAAAATCTGAAATCAATTTCAAATGAGGGTTAATATGAATAGAAACATTCAGGTGGAAATTGGGCTCAATCAACAGTTCAGTATTATTATTAATAATTAATTGAGAAGGACCATATAAGATAGTCTTAAGGGAATACGACCTGATTTTTGACGCTTTTGTTCGAACCACTCTGCTACACGCAGAAAAATGATTTATTTGAATTAAATAAACTTAATTTAATAGAAACGTATGGACTTAACGTCAAAACGCGTGATTTACTTGTTGTTCTCTCTTAGATTGTGTTTGCTCCGTCCTAGATTTTCGTGTTCCTTTTTGTCCCTATTCCTACGTATATTTTAATTTTATTTTACTTCGGAACCTATAGCACAATATGTGAAAATCTTTATAATACGACCACTGTACACAAGCTTGGGTTTCCCCCTTGCTATGGGAGAGTTTTTCTCCCGATAAGCAATAAATAAATTGAATTGAATTAAACTTTATGTCGCGCCGTGCAATAAGTCGAGTTTATCGCACGCTACGCTTCGCGCAGCTTGCTCAATACTCGACTTCTGCACGACTTGACATAAAATATTATAGAGCACTCGGTAATAAATTTCGTTTTCAACGAATGTGTGTACAGACCTCGCCTTCGGCTCGGCCTGTAACACATTCGTTGAAAACGAAATTTGTGCCCTTGTACTCTAATGTACTATAATTTAAAACAAAGGAATCGTTTATTTGGTTCTAATAGTACATTAGAGTACAAGGGCACAAATTTCGTTTTCAACGAATGTGTAGTTTACAGGCCGAGCGAAGGCGAGGTCTGTAAACACATTCGTTGAAAATGAAATTTATTACCGAGTGCTCTATAATATTTTATGTCAAGTCGTACAGAAGTCGAGTTCTCGATAAACTCGACTTATTGCACGGCGCGACATAAAAGAGGATTTATCTGAGTCAAATGAGGTTTATTTAATTCAAATAAACCATTTTCTCATCACGTATGCGTAAAGTGAAATTTTACGCACTCCGCATACGCAAAATCCCGCTTTCCACACGTCGAGATGAAGAATAGGATTCGATACTTGTGGTAAAAGTGTTCTTTGACTCTTGCCACTGATGTCAACACCCTAGTCGAACGAGTGATGGTTGTTTGAAAAAATGCTTAGAATAATAATTGATTTCTTACACCCATCAAAGTTAGAATTCATACAAAAAAATTGCAGGCGGCTGTTTTCGATATAGCTGTTTGTACGTGGACACGTCCATGGTCTTTCTTTCTTTCTCGAATTTCCTACACGGAAAGAAATGTACGAGAAAAATTACCGTACTCGCACAGTAAAGTGGGGTCAGATGGTCTTTCCAGGCGAAATGTACCGCAAAGAGTAGGAAAAAGTACTGCCGCACGAGTCACTTTTCGGATAAATGTGGGGAAAAATTCTTGTGCAGCACGGTAAAATCGAAGTGACCGTGAATTTTTACGAGAAATACGAGAAAAATTATGACACTGGCTGGCACATTTTTCCAGTGCTCTACCAGAATCCTAGGACCCGATCGCNAGCACGGTAAAATCGAAGCGACAGTGAATTTTTACGAGAAATACGAGAAAAATTATGACACTGACTGGCAAATTTTTCCGGTGCTCTACCAGAATCCTAGGACCCGATCGCGCATTCGTAAGATTTCGGTACTCTTCGTCCCCCCTCCGCAACCACGAACATCGACTCAACGTGACCAGATGATTTATTCCGTCGCCTCCTCTGAAACCCCAGGTTAATGTTTTTCATAATATCAATTCAGTGAAATATTAATTAGTGTTCTGATAAAACGGTTAAGAAATAAAATAAGTGCACTTTATTTTCTCTTCATGAAGTGTATAACGCTGTAGAGATACATTGGCCTGTCAAACGTTCCACATACGTTTGGCGCGCATTCCGCTTTTAATATGGGAGAGAGGATATGGCGGAGAGGTTAAAATAAAATTAATAGGATGATATGCTGAATGACAGAGTTGACTCATTTTTAACTATTGAATGTAATTTATCATGTAATAGAAAACAGTCAGGGATCAAGCTTTTATTGTGCGGTACCGGAATTTTTACTATGCAGCACCGGAATTTTTCTGGTGCTAGACAATTGAACCCACTGTACCAGACGGCACGGTAATTTTCACCTGAATTTCTCCTGAAAAATTCTGGAATTTTTATCTCCGTATAGAATCTCTTTGCATTCCCTCTAATTTTCTGGAAACTCTTTAAATTCTCTCGAATTTTCTAGAAACTCCTTGAATTTTTTCGAAATTTCAAGAAACTTCTCAAATTGTCTAGAAATGTCTAGAATTTTTAGAATTCCGAGAGATGGCGCTGCACATAAGGACCGTTTCCCAAAATGACCCCCGATATTGAAACCATAGACGTTCCACGTAAAAATATCAATGATGAATAATTATTGTCTTGGACATTCCAATTTTTTGTTTACACTCGACCGCATTGTACTTAGCGACGCAGCTGAAGTACCTACTACTTTAGTATTAAAAACAAATGGCAAATTGCTCTGCTATCGCATATAGTATAGTTATTTTTGCGAATAAATTAGCAATATGCTTCCGAATGGTTATTTCGCTCATCATTCCTTCTATCATGTATAATTCATTGTTTATTTCATTTTATTAAATTGAATAAGGTTTCTTTTTAACCAATTTTGTCGGATTTTCACCTTCATTGAATCTTGTCATCATTATTATTCTTATTATCTTTTTCGTCTACACAACCGATTGCCTTTTTTACAGTTCTATCTCTCCCCTCAGTCCTTCCATAAAATGTTGATAGAAAATTACACATAAAACATACTTGCATGAATTTGAAACATCACATTCGAATAAACTCTTAGAAACCTCACTTTCAGGGAAAGTCATAAAAAATATGAGATTTTTAACAATCATCATAAAAATTAAATCAACGTGTAGCTATCGTCATCATCTTTTAATTTCAACTTAATGGCATTAAGGCCCGGGTATATTATCTTTTGAACATTATCGGTTGTTTTTTTTTTATTTTGATAATCTGAAATGATCTCCAATTGCTATTCAGTTTTACATAGTCCTAGAGTCTCCCAAAATTATTATTGTACAATCAAAAAAATGTTGAATAAAAGCTGAACATTTTCAAAGAGCGTTTTTGAATAATATTAGGAAATAAACCGAATAGGGAGGATACCGCAAATTAATAATTTGATGTATCTAATGCCTGTTACGTCGTCATTTGTCACAGGAGTTAATGGCTGTCAGATCGTTAGTTACCAGGATAAATTATACATTCACTATTTCCTCTCTATCGGACTTATTTCTTAATCTTTATTAAAAACTGTCTTTGAAAATGTTTTTTTTTACTTTTTTTTGATTGTAGAATTATAATTTTTAGGGACTCCTGCGTGACGTAAAATCCAATGGAAACTGCGATATATTTTACATTATGAAGATGGAAAAATAATCGAGATAACGTTCGAAAGATAATCCACCCGGGCCTTAAAACAAATATTTTAAGCTATGATTGAATTCATTTGAAGCATGATATTCAAAGATATCTTCGGAATTCTGTTTTTCAAAAAATGCCAAATTTTTGCAAATTTTCAATTAAATTAAAATAAAGATTATTACTAGCGCCTTCATTTTCGAACTCGGTCAAAAGGACATCGGTACAAATTTTTTAAACCATCATGCAATCAATTCAGAACATTTTTTTAGTTATCGTGGGACAATCAATTTTCGAAAAATTCAAAAATAAAAAAAAATCATCAGTGAAATGAATTTTCCGTCCCGGCGGGCGCAAAGTTACATTTCCCTCCCGCTTCGCGGGAGGGAACTCTGACTTTGCGCCTACGCCGAGATGGAAAATCGCGTTCTGACCACGGGAAGTAAAATAAAGGACCCTCAGCCGCCAGTGCAATTACCAGCCGAGCCGAAGGCGAGGTTGGTAAGCACGCGGCTGAGGATCCTTTATTTTCCCTCCCTAGGTTAGAAATACACTATTAATTAATGGCGATTAATAGGGCTCAACAATACCTACGTTTGAAAAAAAAGATTCAATTCCATCCATTCATTAGCGAACAATTGACGAAAAACTTTGTTACGTAGGTACGCACATGCACACACGTAAGGACGAGGTCTAAAAATCCCATTTTCGGACTTGTTGGATCATACTGGGTCGATATAACACAAAAAATTCAAGACCTAAATTTGAACAATTACAAAGCTTCTATTCGGAAGCAAAATGGAAAATTGCTTTTGTCACAACATAGTCAATGTACTTTTTTTTGCTAATAAATTAGCAATTTACTGAAGCAAATTCCGAATGAAATGAAATTAAATTTCCATGAGAATCTATTTTAAATTGAATATTGCCCCAACGCTGGCAGTCAATATTATCCCAACGTTGGCAGCCAACATTGCCCCAACGTTAAATTTTTATACTTTTCCCTGAATATTAGTTTCAAAATAATTTTTTTCAAAAACAGATGATGCAATCAAACGCATGATCGAACACCATCAAGATGGCAGTGAGTAGACCATTTTAAATCGTAATTGAATTTATTTAATTATTTTTTTATTTATCGTCGAAATTATTCCGAAATTAACTCCTGACACAAAAAATTGGAAATTTCGGATTCTGAAGCAATAGAATTTCCCTCTGCCGACGTCAAATCATGTCCAATGAAAAATAATTCATTAATTTTACTTTAATAACTGTACCTTGCAATAAAATCTTCAAAAATGAAAAAAATTAACGAATACTTCATCATTCTCATGCAGATAAAATGCTGGTCCCAATTGTTCCTGAGCAAATACTCAAATCAACTGAATTGCCAGGCCACTGAGACCCCCCCAACTAGAAAATTGGACTCGAGCGAGCCCCTCGCGCCAATTAAACATCGCAGATCCATCAACAAGTCCGAGCTGAAGCCGAAAAAATTAATTTTCAAGGATCTCGAGGATTACGAGTCAGGCATTGTGGGCTTACTGTCCCCTTTGAGCCTAAAATCCAAGAAAAAAATCGTCGTAAGAAGTGACGATCAAAGTACAGGTGAACTATTAGTGACGAAAGAGAGAAAACAAAGGTTGAAGGAAAGTGGAAGGTCGAGGGTGCTGCAGCAGCCTCCTAGTGACGACAAGGAAAACCGCATTGAGAGTCTGAGAAACAGAAACAAAGAGATGAGTAAACAACCACTAAAAGAACAACCCAAGGCAAATCCCAACGACAGAGGACTCAAACACTTGAGAATATAATTCTCTCCAATTCATTTCCCCAGAGAATATCAACAATTCAATTATTGAATATGACTTCAATGTGTTAGTTTGTTGTGTAAAAATATCATTGCAAAACAGTGCTTCATAACCCCAAGATTCAACTGCAAACGTCTTTCTGTTATAGTAATCCGTTGAGATTCATTTTCCCATTGAAATTAAAAAGATGTTCCACGATTTAACGGTCGTTCTATTCATGAGCAATAAAATGGTGAGGGGTTGAGGAATAACCTAGTTACGAGTTTTTTTGTTACTCCCAACACGTTTGCACACGTTTGCAAACCAGAAATAGACAACAGCTGGGGGAAAAATGAAAAAAAAATAGCGATTTTTGCGCCCATCGGTGAAGTAAGTTTCTTGTTTATCTTCGCATATTTTGGCCGTTTTCTGATTTATCTGGGGCCAGTAGGAAGGTAAGTATAAAAACTACTTTATCTGTCTCTGTTGGTATAAGTGATCTCTAAATGAACCGTCAATGACCCAGTTATTAACGGCCAGATAATTAGCAGGGAAATGGTGAATTTTCTAATGAAATCAATTTAGATCATTTGAGAATCATTTGGGCTAGTTTGGGAACATAATTTCATCATTTAGGACCTAATAGTTGTTTTTTAAATTAATTTGTTTTTATAACGCGTATAGTTAGCAGGTGAAATCGTCAAATGCCATTAAATTTAGCATAAATCGATGCCAAATCATTTGGGAATTGTAAAGGAAAATGATTTGGAGTTTGGAATCATAAATTATTATAAAAAAAATTTTCTTAATTTGACCATCCCTCTTTTGGCGTGTCGTTGCTCCCTCGATATTTAACAATAGTGTATCTAATATATTTCAATGAAAACAATTGGAATTACTCAAGAATCACTTGAGGTAAGAAAATTGTTTTTATAATAATTTCTGATTCCCAAACTCCAAATTATGTTCCTTCACAATATCCAAATGATTTTGCATCGATTTATGCTAATTTAAATGACATTTGACAATTTCACCTGCTAACTATACGCCGTATAAAAATAAATTAATTTTTTTTAAACTATTAGTTCATAAATGATAAAATCATGCTCCTAAATGAGCCCAAATGATTCCCAAATGATCTAAATTGATGTTATTAGAAAATTAATTATTTCTCTGCTAATTATATGGCCGTCAGTTATTGTCACTTGAAGGATGTCACATACATTTTGTCAATAACGAATCACTTCAGCATATGGAATCGTTACTTCACAGTGGCTCCCAGCATTCACAAGCTGCATTCTTTCGTAGAACGGGCTTATGGATTCTTTCATAAAATGGGCTCAATGAATTTGTTGGTTCACGGAGAGAAAAGATGAATGGAAATTACCTACACTTGAAGAAACTTGGGGCTCGAAAATTTTCAATAGCAAAATATCATCCATTAGGAAAAAAAAAATGTTGTCAAGAAATTTTGTACTTGTCATACTTGGAATCCGACTTGTTATACTTGGAATCCGACCAAGGAATGAGGGACATCGATATCCTTTTACCATATGAAGGGGAAAAAGAGATTTTAAAAAACTTCAGGAATACATGGAGAGATTTTTCTATTACCCGAATGAGATTTCGAATGACTTTTGTTTTGTGGTTTTTTTTTTATCACAAAAAATACTTTATTGATCTTTAACATAATACCTTTTCGTTCAATATTGTAACTTGTGAATTAAGAAAAAAAATGCGAAAAAAAATATAAGAAAAAAAATATATAAAAAACTAGCGAAGCGCCCGCTCACTGTTTCTATTTAAAATCGTAAACTTCGTCGTGTGTTTTTCAATATTGATATTTTTCAATAGAAAAAACTATAAATGTTGCCTCTTTCATGTAACGCATTCTGTTGAGATTTTTCCTATAGGAATTCTTGGGCATGAATTTTCTAAGCTGTTTCATTTTAACTTTCTTGGATTTCATTATAAGAAACAAATAAACATACTGCGGCATAAACGTTGAAAAATCATGCTCAAAATTTTTCTATAGAAATTTTAAAATCTATTGAATTTTTTTCTAACAAATATTTCTCTAAAAAAAATGCGGTGAAGTAGGATAAATTTCAGTAGAATCGGTGCAATAAAACGACTGAAATTATTCGGAACGAAAATGTAAGAGAACTTCAATAGAATTCCCGTATACATGGAGAGAAATATTCAATAAAAATTACGTATCTTTTCCGTAATTCCGGAGCGAAATGTGGTTGTAGGAAATTTTACGGAACTGTCACGGAATTTTTCCAGAACGTTTGGTAATTTTTATCTGAATCTACTGTGAAAAATTACCATACCGTCACTTAAATTTTCTGAGTCGATTCCGTAATCGGTGAGCGAGTTGTGAGTTCCGTAATTTTTACTGAATATTTCTGTCCGTGTAGAGTTCCAATAGAAATTCAATAGAATTTCTCAAAGGACTAGATTTTTTTTATTCAATTGTTTCGACTATGAAAATTTAACATGGGGATTTTCATCCAGTCGAGTTTTCAGCAGATTTTAAGAATTCATTGGTGTAAGTCTGGACCGAAAAAAAGATATTGGTGTGTTCCATCTATTTGAAAGTAGGAATACAAATTTTTATGGATTTTTCATTCACGAAGTTTTTGTGTGAAAAGAAAAAACCAAAAATTGCAGGCAGCTGTATCTTCGATACGGCTATAATTGTACGTGGATACGTCCATTGTAATGAAATTTTGTTCTCCTTGGGAGAAATTCTATCTAGTTAAATAGCGATCTGAAAATGGCGACAAAATGAGAGAAAATGACCAAAATCAGTGCTGAGACAATTAATAAGAAAGTTGTACGATCATTCCACACAAAATTATTTGAAAACCATCCAGACTCCCAAAATAAATGAAAAAATGCATAAATTCATTAAGACCATAAAACATTCAAAATACATATTTCATTAAAAATTTATTGATAATTAGAATCTCTCATTAACTAGCGTTATCAAATGTCCTTTACAATACTCGTCAATATCGATGAATAAACCTAATCTCATTTACAACGATAACTTGAAAACTATATGAATCGATACCTGAATTTGTTGCAAAATGATTATAGTAATCGTTAAATAAACACTAATCAAAAATATCTTAATAATCTCAGTCACAGTAAAATCTATCATCGTTCTTTACACAAAGTCAGAAATTTAAGAGATCATATAAAATACATGAAAAGTTATACACAAGATGAGCCACGACATAATTACTAGGAATCAATTATTCTATATTACAAACCCGATTCTTAAGAAATCACCCACTAGACCCTACTGAGTCGTCACTCATAGGAGATTTGATCAAGAATTTATATTAAACTTTATCGTTGCCACACAAAATCAATGATATTGGAAATAAAAAAAAATTAGTGCTCTCTTCCTCTACATACACGAATTTGTTTATCCCACAGAAAAAAGGTTGCAATGGGAAGTGACAGAAAAATGTAAGGCTAATCTCAAATCAACACGATATAAGAGACGCCATAAGTTCAAAAGATGGTTACCCAAATATAACCGGCACAATGTACTTATCTCGTCGATGGCCACTGGTGGAAAGAGGCCGAGAATCCTAGTGCATTTGCCTTGAGGTCCCTCAATTGGCACTCGCATGACTCACGTATTTCCATTTTGATATATCAGATTTCTGTGTGTCTATTATTCACACGTAAAGATTCCTTTGTTTTCTCCTGTTATCATTATCAATGTCTAATTTCCCTACACCATGGTCTTTCCTTCTTTCTCGAATTTCCTAAAAATTCCTTGCATTCCCTCGAATTTTCTGAAAGCTCCTTGAATTCTCTTAAATTTTCTAGAAACTCCTTGAATTCCCTCGAATTTTCTAGAAACTTCCTGAATTTCCTCGAAATTTCAAGAAATTTCTCGAATTACCTCGAAATATTTAGAATTTTCTAGACTTTCGATAAATGGCCCTGCACATAAGGACCGTTTCCCAAAATGACCCCCCATATTGAAACCATAGACGTATCCACGTCAAAAAACGGCGGGGATTCCCTCATTATACGACCACTTAAGGATTAAATTTCGGTCAATAGAAAAAATAATTGATCACATGATTATACACGAGTAATATTATTGAAAGGTGGAATCATCAGTACAATTTTTATTTTATGCATGGAATATTCAATGCAAGTTGAAATCGTCCGGAAACTAACCCCCGTCCAGAAATTGACTTGTTTACCCTATCCTTTAACCCTTGGGAGGGTAGCACTTGCTTTCGCCGAGCGCCACACGCCTCCCACAGGTAAAAAAACACTCTTACGCACTCATGTCGAAATATACTAATCAAAAGGAGCTCTGAGATATTCAGAGATTTAAGGATAATCGGGCGAGGAGGAAATGTAGGAGGTGAGGCGGAGGGGTTTCTATTGTTTTCCTGCAGAAAAACAATCGCTGAACAAAAAAATTTTTCCTATTCGGATTCAAAATTCAGGCAATATTAGGAAGTATCTCCGGTTAAAAATTATTTTTGGAAGTAATCAAATTTATTCGTACGTGTTCCGCGCATTGAATGGTTTCCAGATTGTTTTTTTTTTTTAATAAATGAAAAAATATTAATTCATGCGAAAAAGTGGCAACATCGTCGGTAGTTTTTTTTCACCAGAAGCTGGTACCACTGGCTCGAGGGAGCTCTAATCACAACGCTTCATCGCTCTCTCTCAAGAGACGTTTAAATTGACCGCGCTACCCCCACCCGATCAGTACTTGGGACGTTGCTGCTCGTTTGGAAAGCGTGCGCAGAAATTTCATTTTTCAGCACTTTTTTCGCTCTGATTAATAAACAATGCTCCTAGGCGACAATCTTTTTCACTCAAAAAATCATTGATCACATGTTCTAAATGTGTCTAAAGTTTCATGACTTTAGCTACATTTTTTTCTTGGGTTTTGCAGTTTTTTTTGTGATTTCCATAAGATTACGGGTTAAATGACCACTTTTTCAAAAATTCATAATAAATTAACCATGCTCCCCAGCAGTCTGAAACTTTGCACACGCCTTTTCTATCATTTAAAGAATACGTTAAAAAAAGAAAAAAATGGCTGCTTTTTTTCCAACCCTCCCAGCTCGCCCGATTATCTTTAAGGTAAATGCCCTAGTCGCTCAACACCGAAGCTGAATGTACAAATAGAACATCATAACTTTCGATGGGC